CGATAGCAGCCAGGGAATTGCAGATCCTAGAGGGCCTGAACTCATGTCTTAGCAAGTAAGCGTAGGAGGAACCAATTTCTGTCGTGTACTGCGCTGTACCAGCAAGTTTCATTGAATCAAATCACAGCAAATGTATTTGCATCTACATTTCTGGGAATACAACAGTGTCCAACGAGAGAGACTCGTGTCCTCCACCAGCCACTTGCTCATCCATACCACAGAAAACTACAGCTTGGCAGTAGAACAGCAGGAAGCCGGTGCAGAGTGAGATTGAAAAGCAAATAATTTATTCCTTTAGCTGTTCACTCTTTGTCCTTGTGCCCAGAACCTGCTGACATAAAACATATTTCAGGACAGAGCTGGCATGGAGTGGAGGTATCAGCCCTTCTCTGGAAGGCACCCCTTGGAAACTCCATCTCATGTCAGCCTCTGAAAGAGATGCATTTGCATTTTTTTGTGCAGGACAAAACAGCTTGTTTTAGGAACTCAGGAGCAAAATTTTAATTAAAACTTCATAGTTTTATCACCTGGCATTTTGTACCAAGAGCTTTAGGATGCTGGCAAACCAATACTGTGCAGGCTCTTGGTAGGAACAGGATGCATCAGTTCTTGCTGCTGGTTTAGCTGGGAGTTTGGAACTCTGGGATGGACTGAAGCAGCACTTTTTTAACAATGGTTTGGTGGTACTGTCAGGACCTTAAAGCCATGATGGTACAGTCTGTACATGAACAGCATTAAATAGCATTTCACAGCCTGAAGTTCAGTGGTTAGGGAGACTGATGGGCCATGATACATGCTTCTATCTGAAATGGAAATATAGATTTTTTTTTTTCTAGTTCTATTTAGGAAGTTGCCTCTGATAGGACCTTCCAGGGCAGAGCATAGTGCAGAGATTAACTTCTGCTCTTGCTGAGCCTCCCCAGGTGGCTGTGGGCGCAGGACGCTCCTCTGCAGCTGCGGAATTTCCTGCTCAGAAGCAGAGTTTGCTCTGCAGCCTCAGTGCTGCTTGAATGTGGCTCTGTTACTCAGCTGTAATTAGAGCAGCTTGCCAGTTCTTTATTTCATCCCTTCATTTCAACGGGATTTCCAGACCTGGTGCAATTTGCCCCAGAGAGCTGGGACTTGTTTTCGAACACAAATCTAGCCAGACCTTATACCTACACTTGCATTTCTCCAGCTACAAATAACAATGGAAGTGATTTTATCTAATCTCCCACCACCTGGTTTGTTCTTGTCCTCACTCTTAGGCATGAGAGTATTGAAAATGCTTTTGGGAGGAGGAGATTTGAGCTGTGTAACCACCAGCATTAACACAACCACACAAGCTATTTGTAAAGAACCAGCTATGGCTGGCAGTGACCCCATGAGGGGAGAGAGGCCTGGGCAGGCAGAGCTCATGGCTCGTGTGGTGTCTGTCCTCTGTGAAGGCCTGGGCAGGCAGAGCTCATGGCTCGTGTGGTGTCTGTCCTCTGTGAAGGCCTGGGCAGGCAGAGCTCGTGGCTCGTGTGGTGTCTGTCCTCTGTGAAGGCCTGGGCAGGCAGAGCTCGTGGCTCGTGTGGTGTCTGTCCTCTGTGAAGGCCCGGAAGGCAGCGCAGCAATGGCCGATGTGCAGGGAAGGGCCCACGCGCGGCCCTGGGGCTTCAGGGAGCCCTTGTGCCTCCTGTGTCTCTACGTGACTTGGCACCCAGATCCCAGGACACCTCTCCAGGCCAGAGCTGTGACTTTCTAGCTTGGGTTTCATGACGGAGCACCCAAGGCCCCTCCTCTATGCCGGCATTTCGGCGCTGTGCTTTGGAAGGACTCCAGGCCAGCAGTGAAGGGCTCTTTGATAATATCTGACGGGCGGGTAAGAATTTTGGGCAGCAGCCAAAGTACACATTGCCTGTAATCGTTAACTCGGTCTGTAAACAGCTCAAACGGCACTGAAGAGGCCGTCAGTTATTACATTGGAGAGAAGCCTTTCATGTGCCCGCGCAGGAGCCGGAGCCGCGCAGCGCCAGGCCCTGAGGAGCAGCTCTGGCTGCAGCATGGCCTGGCCCTACAGCGGCCGCTGTGCTGAGCGCCTGACCTTCAAACCCTCGGCGCTGCAGCAACAACTCAATCCTTACTTTCTTTTGTTCTGCACCTGGCTCAGCGGTGGAGCCCTGCGAGATGGAGGGGGAAGGGATCAGGCAATGCTCCCCCGGCACAGCTGGGAGGGTTCAGCAGGGCTGGCTCCTCCGCCCCAAACCCATCTCCTGCCTGCGGCTTTTCCCTGGTGAGAACAGCTCTGTGTACAATCCTAGCAAACGTTTCACTCAGGAACAGGGAAAGCTTCCCTGGACCATTCCTGGTTTCTCCAGAAACGGCCAGAGTGCTGGTTCAGGGCCACATCAGGTTCCAGACATTGCCAGGCAAAAATGCTGCTGAGCTTCATCTTCAGGAGAGTTTTAGAGAATTTCCCAGTCCATATCAACCTGTGGAGAGCCCTTTGGTCTCTTTCCAGGAGCAGTTCAGCCCTCCTGGAGATGTGTGATGCTTCAGATGAAGTTGTTGCTTGATTTGCTCCCAAAGGAATTTCCTTGTCAGTCTTTGATCTTCTAGATCTGCTTTCTCCTTTCTAGAAGATCAAGCATGCTCTTTCTGACATCAGTTGTCAAGGTTTTGACTTTCAAACCCATTGTAAAGAGCTGGTGGTTGAGGAGGAGTACCCAGTGGCTGCAGTAAAGCGATCTGGGCTGAGGTGAGTCTCTGTGTCCATCACTGCAGAGCTGCTTTCAGGGTCAGAGCTGTCTCAGGTGTTTCATGGACTGGTTGTAGGAGTCTTCGTGTGTTTGTGCCACCCCTGAGCTGGTCCCAAGGGACCTCCCTGCTTGAAGGGGTGAGAGAGCTGCCAGCACAGCTTGGGCTTTGCCAGTGCTTTGAGGGCTGCAGAGGGACAAGACTTGGTGTGAGTTTTGTGGGACAGCTTTAACCTTTCAGCCACTGCCAGGACAGTACAGAGGGTTGTGTCAAAGGAGTCTCCAAGGATGGAGATGGATCCAGAGTGGGGACAGGCTGGGCCCTCCAAGGTGTCCGAGATGAACAGGTCAGCATGTATTGGATGCTGTCCGTGGGATTTGGGATCCTGCAGAGTGCTTGAGGCAGAGGAGCATGAGCTGTTCTCCCGTGACTTGGGCCAGCTTGCCTTTACTTTCATTTAGTGCCGTGAGTCAGGGCTGACCAGACTCCCTTTGCCTTTGATACTGCAACATGGATGTGTGGAGCAGACAGAGACAGTTTAACCAGACATTGTTATGGAACTTTGCCAGAGGTTTCCTTGCCAGTCCATACAATCCTCACGGTGGCTGGGCCAACAGAAGTGACACTTTCTTCCCTCATGTGGGACTTCTCTGTCTGCAGGAGAGCAAACTTCAGCTGAGCTGTCAGTGAGGGGTGTTTGAGAGTTTTCTCAAGCCCCATGGGAATCATTTAGGTTGGAAAAGCGCTCCAGGACCATCAAGTCTAGCCTGAGCCTGACCCACACCTGGCTCTGAAGTCCTTTCAGGGAGTTGCGAAGAGCGACAGAAGAGATCCAGAGTTCACCTAAACGGTCTAATCCTGCACGTGTGATAATCAAATAAACATTGCTCTTGGGTTCAGCACTGCTCTTTGTTGCTCACCAGCTTGGTAATGAAAAGGAGAGGGAAACACAGTCATTTCTTGATTAGGGACAACAACTCTTGATTGTTGTGTCAAACCCTCAGGCCCTGCTGACCCTTGACTCAGGCCAAAGGTAGTGAAGCTCATGAGCACGAGTAGGGGCACAAGCACAGGAGTATTGCACTGGCACCTTGCAGGTCCTTTGTCTCCTCTCCCACCTCTGGCCACTCCTTCAGGGGACTAGGATGGTTGTCTGAGCCGTTCGCACGTTGAGGTAGGACCTGAGTCTCTCTAAGAATAAAGAATCTGTTATCAGTGAATGTGTTTGTCTGTGACTCACATGTGGGTAAGGTGTGTTTGCTGTTATAACAGCTCTTGAAACTTTATGCAGGTAAATTTAAAAAGCCCCATATCCTGATGGCTGAGCTTCATGCCCAGGAGTCATGGAAGTGGCAATTTTTCCTTGGGCCTCTTGAAACACTCTGCTGTTCTTTTCCTTTTCCAGCCAGCCATTTCCACCTTCTCCATGGCTAAAATCTACTTCATCTCCCTGCCCCATCCCTCCTCATCCTCATCAGGCAGCAAACTGTGCTAAATGACCTCTCAGGGTCACCTCTTTTCCTCCTGTTTCTGCATGAGACTCCCAAGTGGGAATTGGGCACCTCTCCATGCCTGATTCCCCAGGAGCTTTCCCCGTGTTTCTGCTGCTCAGTGCAACCTGTGAGTGATGCTGGGAGGGACAGGTTGGTGTGAAGGTAGTGGGACGGACTGGTGGCAATAAAGTGGGAAGGGTGGCAAGGAGGAGTTTTAAAATTGAAATTCAGTATTTTAGGAGTGGCATTGTGGACAGAAAAAGTAGAAAACAAAGAGAAACCATAAAGTAAGGATACAAGAGTAAGTAAGGATAAGAAGTAAGGATACAAAAAACCTAAAAAGGTAACAGTGAGAAGATGGGATGTGGGATAGCTCTGTGTCCTCTCTGAAGCTGTAACAGGAAGGATGTGGTGACAGAGACAGATGGAGTGACAATGCCAAGGGTCACAGGTTGACAGTGTCTTACCAGGGCCAGGGTGTGGACAGAACTGCAGGGCTGAATCACCCAAGAGTGGGTCCAAACCCTGCCAGCTGATCCCAGCCCACCGTTGGGATCCCGAGAGCACAGAGCCAGGCAAGGATTGTCCTGGGAAAGGATCTGGCAGAGCAGCAATGTGACTTCCATCAGGGAGCCCCAGCTGGAACAGCATTGTGGGGTCCAGCATAATAACCCCTGAGGTCCTTCTGCTGACTGGGACCCTGGGAGTGGGTTTGCAGGGTGGGCTTGAGCCCCTTTGCAGTGCTGAGCACCAGGATCTGAGTTTCCCCTTGCTTTTGTCCCACAGTCCCACCCACTATCCCTGTGCAACACCAGCGAGGATGAACACACGGAATCAGGATTCATCACCATCGTCAAGCTGGAACAGCCAGATCGAGATCCCAACCCCTGCCTGTCCCTGGCCAACAAGGTAAGCACAAAAAATGCCTGAAATGGCATCAGCCTGGGAAGTGAAACCTGTGGTGCAGCAAAAAGGGCAGGAGGAGGCAGCAGGCTAGGAAAGAGCTGTTGGGAAGTGGAGAAAAGGACAAGGACAGAGCAGGGTCCTGGGCAGAAGGGGTCCTTTGGGAGAGATGCTGTGCCAGCCAGCCCAAACACCTATGCCTTGACCTTTTGGACTGCCTGACTTTGTAGAAGGTGTGATGTTTCTCCAGCCTAGCAGCTCTGGGATGCTCAGACCTTACCCAACATCCCACACTCTGCTGCCCACCAGCCCTGTCCCCCTCCTGTTTTACAGCCTCATGTTGCTCCCTGGCCTGTGAGGGGATTTGTGTTTCTCTGTGTTCTCTGGCCTGTGGGAAAACGTGGACACAGAACACATCATCTGTGGCTCTGTTTCCAGAAATAACACTTAATACTTCACTGGATGAGGCACGAGAAGAGTCAGTGCTGAGCAGTGGAGATAAATGCAGACCAGGTGAACTAGAGTGGGTCATGACTTGTTAACATTTTGGGCCCTGGGAGATCTCTGAGGTCTTCGGATCAGGCACATCAGTGAAACAGCAGTTCCTGTGCCACAAGCTGAGGTCACTGGTCCGATCTCTGGTAATAAGGAAGTAAGGTAGGAACAAGGGTCATTTTAAGCCTTAAAATCTTTGTGACTGATTAAGTTGCATGGATAAGGATGACATTGGCTTTTTCTTTTGATTGTATCTCTGCCAAATGTTGGGCTATTTTCATGCTTGTACAAGTGTTGTACACTTCTTCCTGCTGGTGGTGATGTGGTGAGGATGGGGACAGGGTCCTTTTCCGTGTTCCCTGCAGCTCAGCTGAAGAAGGCAGGCAAAATTTGGACCCAGTTTTTGCTCCTGTACAGCAGGGGTTTTTCACAGAGGCTGTGGCATCAAAAGCAAGGATGTGTCAGAGGAGAGGAAAAAGGCTGGGCAGGTGCTTCCAGCTCTCCCATGTCCATCCAGACGTGACTGTCCCATGACAGCGGTGCCAGGATGCCCTGCTGGGAAAGCCACTGAACTGCTAATCCTGGAGCAGACCTGCAGCCCTGGCTCCAGCTGAGCTTCCCCCTGCTGAACAGGGGGAGCCAGGGAGAGCAGCGTGAGTGGGAGTCAGGCCCTCTGATATCCCTGCCAGGTGACAGGAGACCTGTGGGAGTTTCTGTTGTCTGTGGAGGTCAGCATGGCTAACAGGGCTGCACGTCCCTCCCCAGCAAATCCAGCTCTGAAACAAGGGAGCACCTGGCACGTGGACAACTGGGGAATGGTTAGGTTTGTGTGTTGCTGTGACTGCAAGGCCACCAACTACTTCATCTCCACAACTTTGGGAAGAAACCACCCGTGAGCCGCAGGGCTCTGGCAAGAGCAGGCGCTGCAGCCCAACGCAAGCTCAGGAGCCAAGGTGGGAACGGTTTCCTCGGTCCAAGCAGGTGCTTCTCTCTCCTGGGAAGAACCCAGGAGGCAGACTCGGATCCAGTGGCAGGCGTGGACACAGGTTACAGTACACAATGTCCACTGAAGCTTCTGTTGTTTTGGACAGGCAAAGCTGGCAGGGGAGCGTGGAGCCCGTGCGATCCTTTTCGACATCACCGATGATGAAAGTGCTGCTGATCAGGTACAGACCCCAGTGATACCCTCAGCTAAAACACAGTGCTCCTGTCCCATCCCAAAACATGCTCAGGGCAGAACCCCCCAGCCACCAGTGGGAGGTGGCAGGAGGATGCTGCTGGTGTTGGGTGTTGGTTCTTAGCCCACACAGAGGCTCTCCATGGCACATCCATGCTCTTAAAAGACATTGTCTGGTCAATCAGACTTCTCTGCGAGGAGCTGGATGCTTCCTCTTGGGAAGTCATAAATTTCCCATCTAGTCCAGACAGCCCAGTGTACCCCAGGAAGGGTGATTTCTCAAGTTTTCAAGCCAAAGTCACAACCCCCTGTTTGCTGTTGGTGCAGGTTTAACCTTGGTTAGACACCTCCAAAGGTTCCTTTCCCCAGCACTGTTGTCATCTCTGGAAGGGAATCAATTCCCCATCCAGATAATCCAGGGATATGAAAAGCATCCAGCTTTAGGTAGGGAGCAGACAGGGGAGCTGGTGCCTGACCTCACCCAAACTCTGGGCTGACTCCTTGCTGGATCCATCTCTTGTGGCTCTTTCATGCACTTAAAACTTAATTTCTGGTGCCAGAGAAGCACAGCAGCAGATTCAGGCCCATGAGGTGATGCCGAGGTTGCTCAGATCCCAGTCTCTGATCCCTACCCTGAGCCTTGGCTCCCACTTTTCCAGCTTTCCCATTCAGTACACCAAAGCCAAGAGTATCAAATCCTATCAACAATTCAGAGCCTTCAGCCTTGCCTCCCTGGTCTTCCTGACCATCTGCACCTCCATTCACATCTCCATCCCTGTGCACTCCCAGGTACCCCGCAGTGTATGGGAAGGGGTTACTGGCTCTGATGGCCACCCTGATCCACCCCAGTCTGGAGGAGAGCAGGCTCAGGCCTGCCTGTGCCAGGCTGCCTGGACCACAGTGGAAAACTGCTGGTGTCACAAGGAACAAGCAGAATGTCCTTAGGGAGGAGGGGAACTGGATGGGTCCAGAGCAGAGGAAGCATTTCTGTGGTGAAGGCAACACCTGGCAGTGCTGTTGGCACTTCCACAGGGAAGAGGAGGGACCAGGAGCTTTTGCACAGGGCCTTGAAAGGAGCTCAGGAGACACCAAGCAATGTCTGGTTGTGCATGAGGGATTACCAGCAGGGAAAATGAAGAAAATTGATTCATCATAGAGGGACAGTGTAACCTTGGGGGAGCAGTCAGTCTCTGAAGTGTTGCAAGAAGCATCATGAGGCATGGACATGCTTGGGGAGTCAGGATCACCCTTGTTTCAGGCTGTTCTGGATCAGCCCTCACTGTGTTTGTTTCTTTGCAGCTGAGGAAGCCCAGAGGCCTGAGCCAGCCCGTGGTCCTGATCAGGGGCCACGATGCTGAGCTCCTCATGGGCGTCGTGAACAAGAACAGAGAGGCCCACGTGAAGATAGAGGTCAAGGAGCCACCAGCTTGGGTGAGAGACACATGATTCTCACTGCCTCCTGTATCCTCCCTCCCAACCTGCTGGGCTTTCCCAGAGAGGCTGAGCTTTCCTCCTCAGGGATGGAGATCAGGGCCTGTTGCAGGAGTTGTCTGTAGCATTCAGACATACTCAAGGAAAGGCTCAAAAGCATTTTCAGCTTACTTTATTTCTTTTGCTTTAACATCATGAGTGAGCCAAGGGGATTCTCTGTCTCTTCAAGTAAGACCAAGCCTTGATTTTTTCATCTTGTGCTACCTTAGACCATGATCTCAAGGGAGCTGAGATGCTGCAAGACAGAGATACTCCATTCTTGTATGGATGTGCAGGAAAGACTGAACCGTGTTTTCATTTACCTGTAAAGAGTAAGGGGAGGAGCTTGGCTAAGGATGGTACTTCCCAAGGCTGATGGTCCAGAAGAGATGGAGATTCCCATAGCCCCTAACTCCCACCAAGAGTAATTTCCACACAAGAGTAATTCCTGTCCTGTTTTATCCAACAGCCAGACTACGACGTGTGGATTCTTCTCACAGTGGTCAGCACTGTGGTCGTCATCATTTTGATTTTTGTTGTCCGCACAAAGTGCCAACTGAACAGGACTCAGGTGGGGATCTCATGGAGCAGACATGACTGAGCAAACAGGAATACAGCAAAAGCAGGAACAGACACCTTTTGAGAGGGGAAATGGGCGGATAGTAATCAAACAGGGAGAACAGTTTTAAACTAAGATGAGAGATTTAGATTGCATATGGGAAGAAATTCTTCCCTGTGGGGCTGGTGAGGCCCTTGGCACAAGTTGTCTAGAGAAACTGTGGCTGTTCTGGATCCTTGGCAGTGTCCTAGGCCAGATTGGACAGGGCTTGGAACAACCTGGGATAATGGAAGATGTCTCTGCCCATGGCAGGGGAGTAAAATAAGATGAGCTTTAAGGTCCCTTCTAATCCAAACCATTCCAAGATTCTATGATTGTATGATTTAGTATTCTTAATAGAAATTAACAATTGAAATAATCATCTTCCAGAATCAGATGTATTTCCATATTTGAGACTATCCCATTTGTCCTATAGAGAGACAATCCTTTGGGGATCAAAAATTCAGCACTGCTGAGTGATTTGAATGTTTAGGGCCAGATGTCTCCTGCTCATGACAAAGCCTACTCTGGCTGAGTCAGTTTAGACAGAAAGTCACCCCTGCAGATGAGCATTGTCCCCAGATTTCTGATAATCCCATTTTGAGTACGGGAGGGCAGACTAAGGCTGAACTCTCCTCAAGTGCCGTCTGTCTCCACAGGACTCGGTGCAGCAGCAGACCCTGCAGGCCATCGGGCAATTGGCCACGCGCCGCTACCAGCCCCGGGCGCGGCCGGCCCCGCGCTGGGACTCGGCCAGCAGCTGCAGCTCTGCCCCGGTCTGTGCCATCTGCCTCGAGGAGTTCAGCGAGGGGCAGGTAGGGTTTGGCCAGGGCTGCACCATGCGTGGCTCTGGCTTCCCCAGTGCGGGGGTCAGCAGGGGGAGCTGAGCACGGCAGGAGCTGTGAGATGCTTCCTTCTGAACTCCTGAGTGCTGGAAAGGGACTGCATCCATGGAGGTGTGCCTGCCCTGGGCTATAATGCCTCTGCCGAGGTTGTGTCTGCAGGCAGGTCTCCAGCTGTGGCTGTGGGATAAAATGCCTGTAAAATGCCCATGTTGAAATAGGGTAAAATTTGGTTTGCTGCTCCAGAGCACCCAGCCTGAAATCTCTCTATTCCCGAGGGCTTGCACCTCTCTGGATGTTCACAGAGCAGCACCAGAGGTGCTCCAGAGCCTCCTCCGTGCACAGCTGTGCTGCAGATCCCTCACTGTTAGACATCTGTCCGTCCTCCAAGGCTCACTTCCATCAAGAAGGACCCATCCAGGTCTTGGAACTTGGTTCTCCTTGCTCATCTTCCTCCTCTCCACTTCTTTCTAGGAACTGCGGATCATCTCGTGCTCTCACGAGTTCCATCGGGAATGTGTTGACCCTTGGCTGCAGCAACATCACACGTGTCCACTTTGCATGTTCAATATTCTTGGTAGGGCTCAGACACAGCATTTCCTGGCTGGGGACAGGGTTGGGTGAGGATTGTGCCCAGGAGCTCCAGTTACTCTTGGGAGATGGATCAGTAGGTCCTTGTGTCCCTGTGGATGGAGTGGGCAGGGGACTGTGTGCATGGAGAGGAGACCCTTGCTTTTGAGCCCACCAGAGTACAGTGAAGTGCTGGGCTTGGGCTGGGACCTGCACCGAGAGGGATTCCAGTCCTGTGACCTGTGGGGAAGGGAAGGTGGGATCTGGGGGTTGCAGCAGCAGGGAGAGCGCTGAGTGTGCAGGTGGTTTGGTGGTGGCAGCGAGGAGTTGCAGAGTGCGTGTGGGACGCGGGGCCGTGGTGGGAGGGCAGTGAAGCATCAGTGCCGGGGTTGCTGCAGCTGGGCTGTGGAACGTGTACTGGATGCTCCCTTCTTTCTCCACAGCCAGAGACTCGGGGGACCAGGCCATGGCTGCCAGCTCCAGGCTGGTCCCTCAGGACATGGAGCCTGGGCGGCGACTCCACCTTTTCCGCCAGCATCCAGGACATGCCCTTTACCACCTCCCACACGCGTATCCTCAGAGGAACCTCAGGAGCTTGCCCCCAGAGCCAGCCCACAGCAACCCCTTCTTCCACTCTCCAGAGCTCTCCCAGCTGGATTTTGGCACCATCCACTACATGCCCTACAGACCGGCCACCTCCCTGCTGGCCTGTGGCCATGTGGCCTCGCTGGCCCCAGGCTCACTGGGGCAGCAGCTCCCCAACCCCTGTGCATGCGGGCAGGCGCTGGCACCCCACAGGACGTGTCCCGTGCAGCCTCAGCCCCCCTGCGTGCCGCCCAAGGCAGCCCTGGCACAGAAGCAGCACCGCGCGCCCGCCCTGCGCCGGGGGCTTGGCCACGGGCAGCAGCACAACAGCAGCGGCTCTGGGGAGAGCTATCTCACGGAGCACAGCGGCTACCTGGCCGACGGGCCGGGCAGCGACTCCAGCTCAGGGCCCTGCCACGGCTCCTCCAGTGACTCCATGTTGAACTGCACAGACGTCAGCCTGCAGGGTATCCACGGCAGCTGCTCCACCTTCCGCAGCTCCCTCAGCAGCGACTACGATCCGTTCGTGTACTGCAGCTCTGAGGGCCCCGCCACCGACCACGGCCAGGAGCAGCTGCGGCCACCCAGGGAGAGCCGGCCCCGGTCCTTGGACCTCATGGTGCCCAGGGGGGCTGCTCCAGCCAAGCCCCAGGTGCTCAGCCACATCCACTACCACCACCACCAGCACCACCACTACAGGCGGGACGCCGAGTGTCCCCCTGGGCGAGCCGGCCAGGGGCCGGGGCCACGCAGATCCCGCTACTCCGGGGCCAAGGTTGCTTTCCACAGTGGTCGTACACAAAAGAGGACTGAGAAAAGCCATCACTCTCAGCAGCCTCTGGAAAGCGGTGCCATGCTGCAGGAGGCAGCTCCAGCAGGACAGCCAGCCTGTCCCCAGGAAGGCTGGGACCCCCCTCACGCCCCCTCCACTTCTCCAAACAGGTTGGACGTCAGTGTAGATGCCAACAGACAATCGGGAGCAGCTGGCACACCCCCTGTCCCGCTGGCCCCCAGACACAGCTTACAGAGCAGGCATCACCGAAGGAAAAGAAAGTGTCCCCTGGTGCCCGACCCTGCTCTCCTGCCCAAGGACTCAGCCAAGCCCAGAGCCTGCGACACTCACCTTCCTCCCGGCCATCCCTACCGCTGCTGTCCCGAAGCCCAGCCCCTGATCCCAAGCGCTCCCATGCCCGGCGGCTCCCGGCCGCTCTGGAAGTGTTTAGTGCCACAGCCCAGCTCCGAGCTGAGGAAGCAGGAGGGGTTGTCAGGACAGGAGAAAAACCGCTCGGTTCCTGCAGATTTCTCAGGGATGGGCACCTCCAGACACGGTCTGAGTGTCCACCTTCACTGCCCATCTCAGAAGGGTGGTCAGGGTAAGTCTGGCCTTCGCCTCTCCTGGTAGCGAGCAGGTGAATGAGGGAGGTGGTTTGCTGAAGGAACTCCAGCTGCCAGGACACCTGGTACCTTCTTGATGGGTTTTCCTACAGGAGCACTGACTGCAGGAGCATTCCAGAGCTCACCTGTGAGGATGATGGCCTGAATGATGAGCAAGTGTGTTAAAGAGTTCACCAAACCCTGAAATGCTGCAACTGAGAAATAAGGTGGCTAATTTTAATTAAACATCTCTAGCAGCTGAAATATCTGCCAAAGGAAGGCATGGGAGCGCATTTTTCAGTGTCCTCGCACCAGCCTGGGTGTCTTACTGGCAGAGTCGTTACCACTAAGGCTTTCTGGGCTCCAGTTGTTTGAGCCAAGCCCAGGTAACTGGAATCAGTGAGAAAGGAAGTGTGTGTGGCCCGGGGTAGTAGAACAGACTAATTGAGTTGCTGGATTTGCACATCCCTCATTTCTCACCTGCCTCTGTTGCGTGGGAGTTGCTTTTTTAGTGTCTTTTGGAAATCAGATGTAATTAAAGTTTGGCCCTCTGCCTAACTGCTGCACGTCTCTCACAAAGAGAGGGAAAATGCCTTTGAGACAAGTGTCTTTGAAGGAACCTGAGTTTAGCTCCCAGGTCTTGCTCTCTCAGGTCCTCTGAAGGCAGCAACCTCTGAGTCAGCAGGGGCAGGCACTGGCTGGGAGCAGAGCCTGGCTCCCTTCCTCTCCCTGCCACTGACTCATTGCAGGTCCTCGGGCAAATCCTTTTGATTTAGGCACCAAACACAGATCTGGCTGTCTAATTTCTGTTAAAACACTGGCCTTAAACTCATGACTCACTGTGCCCATTGTGCTGCAGAGATAATAACTTCCTCCCCGTGCTTGTCTATCCAGCCCCACCCCACGCCCAGGCTCCTGGTGCTGAGGAGGCAGTGGGGCAGGGGAGGCTGGATGGGCACAGGCCTGGCTCCCTGCAGCCTTCTGGCCTCCCAGACTCCCAGGAACAGATATTTTTCCCAAGTGCAGAAGTGCCTGACACTGCAGATAGGTGACAGGGAAGTTCTTGCAAGGCCTGGAGGGATGCTGGTGTTTGGAGAGATAAGGAGGCATCAGGGCAAAGATGTCTCTGGCTGCAGGGAGCTCTGAGTGCCAATGCCCTCCCAGGGTACCCCACATGGAGAGAGCCCTCCTGGCTCAGGGCAGGCTGCTCAGGGCTTGCTTTGAGCTCCCAAATGAACCTGGGAGGGCTCCAAGAGCAGGAGTCTGTGCACCTAACACGGGGTGCTAGGCATTGCAAGGTCCATGCTGGGATGCTTCTGTCTCTTTGGAAATGGTCCCAGTGGCCCCAGTCTGTGCCCACCTCCTGATGACCCTCTGACCCCACCCAGAGCCAGTGCCAGCTGCTTTGCCAAGCACACCAAGCCTTCATTCCCTCTTCCCTCCCCATTCCAGCAGATAGAAGGACCAACAATCTGCAAGTGCTGTGAATCTATGTCTGTTTACTGCACTTGCTTCTGTGGATGCTCTCAGAGCCAGAGAGAGAGTCACAATTCCCTTGCAAGATTGAGAGACTACATAGATTCAGGATTTAACTTTATTAAGAGCAGAGGAAAGAGCACAGAGGTTGTGCAGGGCTTATGCAGAAAAGCCACCAAGCTGAAAACATTGGTTGACGTAACACACTCTCTGAGTTATAATCACATTGGTTCTTTATCTTGGGAAAGGTATAAATCAATAGAGAAGAAGTAAAAAAGAGCAAAGAACAATCTCAATAGGCAGTCCCATGCAAGCAGGACACAAAACACAGACAGGGAGACCAAGGAAAAATGCATCTCTGACTCCAGATAAATGGCATAAGGCTAAAAATATAAGTGAATGAATTAGAAAGCCCAGCTTTAAATTAAAGTTTTGACATAAACTTTTCAGAAACCCAGTTTAAAAGAAAAGCAAACAGCGGGACCCTGTAATTCCTAGGTGAAATTACAGAGAGGAGAAGCGTGTGTCTGTTCTGGTGGCATGGAAGAGAAGACACTGCACTAAGGAGAGTGTGAAGGCCAGTGATGAGTGACACAAAAATCCCCAATTGCCCCCAAGTAAGAGGGTGGCATTAGGGTTACAAGACTTTGTCAGCACAGGCTGCAAAGAGAAGCCTACATAGACAGGAGAGTCTTAGGAGAATATTGCTAAAATAAGCAGTCAAAAGATGCTTTTGGGCACAGGGATCATCAACAGCCCCAGAAAAAGGGCTGGTCAAGCAGCAGGGCAGGGGGGACACTTGGAAACTGCTCTTCCAAAGCCAAGGCTTGGCTGGAGAAGAAAATCAGACCAGAGCTGATGCCAAGTGAAGTGCAGAGCCATGGAGTCAGGCCAGGGAATATTTCTGTGAACAGCTTGTGTAAAACAGACTATTAATGCAAATGTTTTCAGCTCCATCAGAAGGGAGAAGGCTGCCTGGGGTTCTTCAGGCCTAGGGAGTAACATGGGTCTGAGGGGTGTCGGGGGCTGTAAGTGCAGAGCAGAAGAGCAAACTGCCTTTACTGCATAGTGATCACCAGGGGAGTGCTTGGGGAGGTTCTCACCTGGCTCTGTTCAGGGCAGGGGGGGCAGGATCCCTCACATATCAAATCACCAGTTTGAGCACTTTGAAATACAGTGGAGAGTAACAAATTGCCAGGGGTACAGATTACCCACTGGGCATCCTGCAGGGCTCAAGCACACAGCTGATAAATCCTGAATGTGGATTATCCATGCCCAGAGCCAGGAGGAAAAGCTGAGGGCAATATCAGCTGGAAATAGCTGAAGCCATAGAACGATGAGCCTGACTTTCCAGCCAAGCAAATCGTTAAAAATTCAAATACAGGGTCTGACTTGTAGGCACATGGCTGAATGTGAAAACTAGGGGAGGAGGCAGCCCAGTTTTTGTAGGGAGAGATAAAACCTGGCAGATCTTTTAGGGTAAGGAAGCTCTAAAAGGATAAAAGGGAAGGTGCCCTCACAGGTAAACAACTCACTGAAAAAGGAGACGAGTGCAGGTCAGACTTAATAGAGGGGTATTACTCAGAGAACGTGAAAAGTGGAGTTCTCCAACTGTCTGAACCTTCCAGCAAGCTCATAAATATTCTGGACAAGGAGAGAAGATAGCAAAGAGTGTAACATATAAAATCCATCAGGATGTCAGCATTAAAACTGGATACAGTGTTAGAGGAGAATCTCCTGCTGCTGAGCTGTTGGGTGAGAGCATGGTGCGTGAAATCCCCTGTAACAGCACAAAACGCCACACACGAGCAGAGGCACTTTTAAGTAAAAATCACAATGTTACTATTATCATTATTGTTTTTATTATTATCATCATCATTAGCATTAGCTGGCTGGGAAGCATGTGGGACAAGCAGAAAGTGCCTTTATGCAGTTGTGTAAGTCTGTAGTGATCTCACAGCTCCTGATCACCAAAAAGGGTGGAAAAAGAAAGGGAAATCAGGCTTGGAAGGAGGGCAGAAAGGTATCTGGTGTAATCCCAGCAGTGGGTTTTTCTGAGAAAATAGAATGGTGAGACCTTAATGTGGGAAAAAAAGTGATTAGCAGAGGATATGAAAGAGAGGATATGAAATTAGGAGAGCAGAGGAGAAGGCAGATAAGAGAGTACTTAGAACAAAGTAATTGATGGCATCAAACAGGAACAAGAAGCTTTAAAACACCCAAAAGGCAACACATGTTGTGTAGTGAAACTGGTGCTGATTGCCCAGGGGATGTAGATGCCAGAAGTAAAATGGTTTTGAGAGCCCAGATCAAGAGGTAGCAAATGCAGAGATGCAAATCCACCCTCTGGCTCAGGAAGTTCCTAAACCAGGGCTTCCAGAAGCTGCTGGTGCTCCTGTGGGATGCAGCACCCTCCAGGTGTGTGCTTACCTCACCCAGCTGCCAAGTGAGGCTGAGTCTTGGTCCACAGCCCCTGGAGAAATTCCACTTGTGCAGGCAGTGCCATGCACTGGCATCGCAAGGAATAATGTTCTGGATGATCCCAAAGAACCTTGCATGGTCTTGGAGTTTATGCCTCTTCCTTGAGCTCCTCCATCAGCCGTTCTTGCCGGGTTTTGCCTCAAGCTGCATCCCTGACTCTTCTGTTGCCTGGGAAAGGCCACACCTGGGAGTTGTGTCCCTGGAGAATCAATCCTGGAGCAATGCTAATGGATCCTCTTAAGGGAAGACAGACAACTGGCAGTGAATTCGAGCTGGATGGCTTCCTGAACCCGGAAAGCATCCCAGAACAGCCACATTACTGCAGCACAGGCTGATGAAATCCCTTGATTTCTCTCCCTGGGAAATCTCACCTCCTGCAGTGCACTCCACATCCTCCCCCTCTCCTCCCTCCTGCTCATCCTGAGTCCCTTTCATGTCACATCTTTGATCTTTACTAGGGAGGGGGAAAGGGATTAGAGGGCAGAAAAAGACCACCCTTAATACCCAAAGAATATGATTTCTGTGGTGTCATCAAGATGTGCTCCAGGTCTGTTCCCTGCCATGGCCAGTCCAGCAGCCAAGGTTCTCCCACCTCTCCCAGTTCATGATCTTTTCTTAGCACAAGCAGGGGACACTGATGAAGGCACAGCTTTCAAAAAATATTTTAGTAATGTTATTTGAGACTGAAGGCATGTGAACACAGAGGGCTTGAAGCTGGACAGTCTCTTTTTGGGTTGCACATAAGCTGGTGATAGAGGGAGCAGTTGGAAATGGCTTATTCCACATACTTGTGACTCAAGTCACAAATGCAAGGTACGCTTAAACTCTGTCTTCAGGTGCTATGACCATGCTTGCACATGTGTGTACATGTATAACACCATGTGCGTTCATTTTCCCACATTGATTAGCTACGCTTTTCCAAGCAGAATCTCATTTGTTTGTTTTCTTCCCACATCTTTAATTTTCAAGGCTCTGCTCCTACAGCTGGTGGTACATAATCAACAAGAATTCATTCTGACTGTTCTGAAAAGTTCTTTTAAATTGCCCTCGATGAATCTCTTAAGTGGGCATTTCTTTCCATTGATCTCAGAAACATTCAAAAAAAGGAAATAGGAAAAAAAGGTCTGTATGCCTTTGCTGGGCTGTGCTGACCTTGTGTAAGAGTTCTGGGCAGGCTTGGGAGACATCTGGGAAGGGACCAGATGTGGTGTGTGTGACAACAGGCAGTGACTTAGAAAGGGGCTGTCTGGAGTTGTGACTTGGGTGCACCTTTTTAGGCAGCCCTTTTGTTGGATGGTTCCAAGTAAACTGCTCAGCACCTGCCTGTCAATAATTCTCTAGGCAGAAGGGGCTGGGGAAGAGCCTGGGTCTGAGCTGGGCTCAGAAGCAATGTGTACAACCTCTTGAACACTGTGGAACATGTGACGTTGCTGTCTTGCATCCCTGCTCTCTGCTCTTATTGCCTGGAGTTTCAGTTGCCCCCTGGCTCTTGAGATATGAATTGGTGTTACTTTCTGTTCCTAATAATTTTTGAATTCTGTACAGATTTTCACAAAGAACAAACATCAAAAAGCCTGAAAAGCAAACACCTAGTAGTGATGTGAATCCTGGGGCGCCCTTAGCTTGCCTCTTCTGAATTATATAAGGAGTAGCTTGGTGTCTTAAGATCTTATTGTACTTCACCTTAGAGGAATAAACTGGCTGAGAGGTGGCCAGAAAACTCCCTCTGAAAAACTGGGAGAAACTTCCTAGAATCATGCAAAATCCTGAATTGGAAAGGACCCACACGGATCATCCAGTCCAGTCCCTGCCCAGGACACCCCAACAATCCCAGCCTGTGCTTGTCCAAATGCTCCTGGAGCTCTGGCAGCCTCAGGGCTGGGACCATTCCCTGGGGAGCCTCTTTCAGTGGCTTACTGGCTTTTTTAGTAGCTTTCATTTAGTGGTTTTTCCTGCAGCATGTGTTCTCTGGATTTCAGGGTCAAGGCCCCAGCCACTGCAGAGCCTGGGAATATTCAGCCAGGTGTAGCTGACACTTCTCTTTCTCCTTTTCTTTGAATGCAGGATCTGAAGAGGAGGTTCAGGAAGTCCATGAACACTCAGTTTAATAAAACACTGGCCTGTTTGCTCGCTGGGAGCTGGAGTGGACACAGATGTTGATGGAGCTGCTCACATCTGGCTCTGCCTAGCCTGCCCTGCTGAGACACGGACTGCCAAGAGCAACGGGCCGCTCGTGGTCTCCTGACACGTCCCCACGCCCTGACGGTCACAATTAGAGCCCTGCTCTCCAGGCCCCATCTCCTCTGAAGGCACAGGCAGCCCCTCATCATCCCATGGCATCGCTCCAGGCCGGGCAGGGCTCCCAGGGAGAGCTCACCGAGTGAGTGCAAGCTGCTATTTTGGTGTGTTTATGCCACAGAAGGTTTAGCTAAACACTGCAAAAATAAACAAGCCTTCGAGACCAAAAGCTGCAGAAATTACTTTCTGTGGCCTGGTAGCTCCTGACTTCATTTCCTCACTTAGGTCAAAAGCCAGATTTCTTCAATTAACTTTTCCATGCTTATTTCAGACACAGGAACAAGCTATTCTCCATCTCACCGTTCACAGGGCTGCCCTGCAAGGTGCTGCTTCTGACTTCAGTGAAAAACCAAGAGCTCTCACCACTTTTGGTCACCCCAATGTCCCTCAGCTGACGCCATCTCAGCCACTGGCTGTGTTTGCCAGCAACAGGAGAGGGGAAGACGCAGGGACGTCAGCATTTCTGGGAATGAGCTGGGTCAGACTCTTTCCATTGCAAAGAATCCACCCTCTCATCTGGCAATGTGAACAAGTTTCTCACTCACCCTCTAACTCCTCCACCTACCCTCAAATAGCTCTCATGGCCAGCCCTGCTAAGAGCATATTTCAAACACATCTCAGATGTCCCTGTAACAGGAGTCATGGAAAATCCTGGAGTTCACATGGCTCCTGCTTCTCTTTCCTCTCATTGCCCCAAGACGCAGCAAAAATTCCCAGCAAAAGCCTCCGTAACAAACACAGAACAGAGCCTTACCCATCACCCAGGCTTACCTTCGTATTCTGAGACTCCTGAAATCCTTCAAAAGGATTTTTCTATCTTTTCCAACATTCTGATGATTCAGGGAGAAAACTTGAGAAATCAGGCTCTGGTTTATTGCTTTTCTCCTCTCCCCACCATTTATGAGTATTTTGGGTTTTTCTGAATGTCACTAGTTCTTATTTCCTGCATCTCATAATTTGCAGACATTCAAGCAAAATAAAAGCTGCCAAATTCAAAACAAGTAGAACCTATGCAGCTTTCAAACAGCAGAAAATTCCTGTCAATTCCATTGCCCTAAATGAACAGTCAGGCCAGAGAATCAGCCAGATTCCCCTGTGCACATTTCTGTGGCACCAGCTGCTTCCAAGCACAAGGAAGCTTTGGTGAGGTTACAGCACTGGAGCTGAAGCTGACTCCAACAATGTGAAACTTGATGTAGGGACAGACTTTCCCATCTGCTCAGTAAAGTTTCCTGTGTCTTCCTTTGAAGCAGCTGCTTCTCAAGAGACCACAGTGGTGATGCAGTCCCAGTTCAGCATAGTCCTCTGTCTTCCTTTGTTGGTGGGAAAGCTTTTTACAGGGTTTGCTGCCCTTAATCCTCGAAAAAGGCATCTTTGCTAATGCTGCTAATCAGTCCCTGATAGTCAAGTGATCAATCAATAGCACTGTTTTAAAGCCAACATTGGTCCCTTGTGCTCATTCCTTGTCTCCTGTGACCAGCCCCCTGTGGGACCTTTCAGTCTAGGGAAGAGCAGAGTTAGATTTAGACCTTGCCAGGCTCTTGCTTGTCCTACAGTGCAAGCAGAAGACACAAGCTCAGAAGTTTTCTCCTGTGCAGGGAAGTCAGTCTTAAACTAGAGGAAAAAGCCAGGAGCAGGTCTGGCTTCACCCCGTTCAGCTTTTCGTGCTCCTGGTCCGTGGCTTGTCTGAACCAGCTCCCTGGGTCCTTCACCATCCTGGAGGGCGCAGAGGCTTAACAGAGGGGATGGTCATGAAGTCAGGGTGCTCCTACTGCTTTTTTTAGGATTCAGGAAGGCAGAGAGCCTCTAGGGATGCATTTCACTGCTCAAATGAACAAGTGCAACTCTGAAGTCTTTTCTTTCCCTCCTTATCCCTAACAAGAGAGGAGATCCCTGAATTTGTGAGCCACAAGCTTCTTTGGGAAAGTGGTCAGCAAAACAAGCTCATGCACCCTCTCCACTCCCATCTGCAGTATTACCAGGCTGCCAGGGCAGCACGTGCTTCCAAGTGTGTCCCTTTCCTGACCTTAGGCTGCTGCTCCTGTTCACGTAGAAAATGCTGGAGTGCAGCTCTGCCTCGGTGGAGGCTCAGGGGAGGAGAGGGAGGAACTCTCTGGGAACTTGGGTTTGAAAGGATCCTCTTCAGTAGATGGATGGCTATCCTTGGCTGCCTGGAAAGGAATCAGTATCAGAAAATAGGGAATGGTTCCTCACAGTTCTTCACCTCTGGCTTCGGAGTGATGCTTTTTGAGCGTTCAGTGCCTGTGGGCTCCACCATGGAATTTCTCCAGCATCCCTGCAGTGAGACAGAGCTCATTTTCCTTCTTTGCATCCAAAGTCACAGCTGAAAACTGATGCAAGCCAGAGCTTCCCAAGCTCCCTCTATCCAAACTGAAGGTCCAGCCGTTCCCAGGAGCTCCCACCACCTGAACTGGGCATATGGTCAGGCTGGCTGGATGTCTCCCTTCCTGCACAAATCCCTCAGATCCTTTGGAAATGTGAATATCACTTCATTTTGTTGTTGCTTTTTGTTTCCTTTGGTTTTCTTGCTGAGTCTGGCCTGGCTCTCAGGGCTTGGGAAGAAATTAAGACCCGGGGTGGGGGAATAAAGACCACACACAGGGGGGGAAAAAAAAAAAAAAAAAAAGAATACGTTTTATATATATGCAAAACTGTGTATTTATGTCAGATAAACACAAAGATGTGTGAATATGCTGATGTGCTCAGAAATATATTTATTTACTAATATATTTATCCATGTACCGGTCTGTTGCCTGCGTTTGTTCTTTACGCTGCGCTGGCGGAGCCCGCGGAGAGGGAGCCGGGACCCGGCCCGGCCGTGACAACGCGACAGAGCCCCAGAGCCCCCGCCCGCTCGGGCCCAGAACCTTCCCATTCCCGGCGGATCCGGGGCCGTTCCCGTTCCCATTCCCGGCGGATCCGGGGCCGTTCCCGTTCCCATTCCCGGCGGATCCGGGGCCGTTCCCGTTCCCATTCCCGGCGGATCCGGGGCCGTTCCCGTTCCCATTCCCGGCGGATCCGGGGCCGTTCCCGTTCCCGGGCGGATCCAGATCCGTTCCCGGGGCGGATCCAGATCCGTTCCCGTTCCCATTCCCGGGCGGATCCAGATCCGTTCCCGGGCGGATCCAGATCCGTTCCCGTTCCCGTTCCCGTTCCCGTTCCCGCGGCGCAGGCGCAGAGCGGGCCCGGGGCAGCGATGGCCGCGATCTCGCTGGAGACCGTCCCCAAGGACCTGCGGCACCTGCGCGCCTGCCTGCTCTGCTCCCTCGTCAAGGTGGGACCGGGAGGTGCTCAGGGACAGGGGCTGGAACAGGGATTTCTCCGCGCCGGCCCCGGACCTTTCCCCGCCCGGATTAAGCCCTGCAGTCCCTACCGGGCCGTTCTCCCCGGCCCCAGCACTCCCTGTCCCGGCCTCCCCGCTCCGGCCCCGGCCGTTCCCTGCGCCAGCTCTTCTGCCTCTTGGCCCCGGCCCGAGCCTTTCTGCCCTTCCCGGCCCTTTCCCCGTCCGTTTTGGGCCTCCTTGTCCCTTCCATCCCGGCCCTTTTTCCCCGCTCCGTTCCCGGCCCTTCCCCGCCCGGCCCTTTCTCCCTCCGCAGCCTCCCGCAGCCTCCGGGCGCTCCCTGGCCCTGAGCCCTCCTTCCCGGGCTCCCTCCCTTTTCCGCGGCTCCCGGCTGCTCCTGCTCCCTGACACCCGTGTCCCCTTAGACCATCGACCAGTTTGAGTATGATGGCTGTGACAACTGCGAGACTTATCTGCAAATGAAGGGTAACCGCGAGATGGTCTATGACTGCACCAGCTCCTCTTTCGATGGGTGAGTGAGGCTGGGCCCGGCTCTGGTCCCTCTGGAGCCTAGGGACACCGAAGTGGCACTGTGGGGTCACCCAGCAATGAGATGTCCCCTCACTGCCATCCCTCCCGCAGGATCATTGCCATGATGAGCCCTGAGGACAGCTGGGTCTCCAAGTGGCAGCGGATCAGTGAGTAATTTGGGAGCTGGAGATCCCTTCTCTAGAAACCCTTCTCGGGGGCAGTGAGAGCTGCTGGTTGGGCTGTGGCCCCTCAGTGAGGGGACATCTGCACAGGTTGAGGATTCCCACCTGGCTGCTCCATGTGGGGTAACTCAGGGTTTTCTTTCCTGCAGGTACCTTCAAGCCAGGTGTCTATGCAGTGTCTGTGACCGGCCGCCTGCCACAAGGTACCTGAGTGATGGAGGCAGGGTTTGGGGCTCTGTGGACACTCAGGGAACATGACACGTGGGTGATGGGACCAGCAGAGGTGACTGCGAGGAGGTGCTGGACTGGAGAGGGAGTTTCAGGGTTCAGCACTGTACCTGCCAAAAGTTTATATTGTAAACTGCCGACTAAAGCCTGGCTATCAGAGGGATAAACTGGGATTAATGAATGATTTGGAAAGCGAGCACGTCTCAAACCATTCAGCTCCAGGAAAGCAGGGAGTTTTGTTCATACAAAAGGGTTTTGTGGGATGGGGTGCTGTTGTGGCAATCCCAATGAGCACACCCCCCTCCTGCACTAAGGGCTCGTGCCACGTGTGTTTACAAATGGAGTGGAAGGCGCAGAGGATTTTCTTTATCTCTGTAATGCAGAAAAGGCATCATCCATCCAGCTGAGTTCCTGCCCAGTATGTAGCCCCAGAGTAGTCGCCTAACCCAGGAGTGAATCCCAAACTCCTCGGGTGAAAGCTGTGCCTGTGTCTGGAATCTGAAGTTCCTTATTTCTGACTGAGCTCTGCATTGGGAAGAAGCTGGAAACATCATGAGGCCAGAAGCTGAGGCCTTCTGACACAGCCAGGCACATCTGAAATACCCACAGTTAGGGTTTAAATGGAATATCAGGGAAAGGTTCTTCTCACAGATGATGGTGGGGTACTGTACAGGCTCCCCAGGAGATGGCCACAGCCCTAAGGCTGGCAGAGCTCCAAGAGTGTTTGCACAACATTCCCAGGGATGCACAGGGTGGGATTGTTGGGGTGTCTTGTGCAGGGCCAGGACCATGGACTGCCATGTCCCTTCCAACTCAGGATACTCCATGATTCTTTAAAGGAAGATGATTGTCCAGTTGTATGTGACAGAACCACCAGATGTTCCCAGGGATCCTCATTCCAGGAGAAGACTGAAATATGTTTGTGTCCTTGCTGCAGGGATTGTCCGAGAGCTGAAGAGCCGTGGCGTGGCCTACAAGTCTCGGGACACAGCCATAAAAACATGAAGGGCCCTTGTGCTGCCCGGAGATCCCAGTGCTGCACGGAACAGGCAGTGGGCACTGCTCCAAAACCTGTCAGCTGAGTCTGCTGCCTCAGCTCCCCTCGCTCGGTACCTCTGGACTGTGCCACACTACAGACCACAGACTTTACCTGAGCCTTGACACGGGGGGAGGGTGTGAGTAGGGCTGGGAAGGGGTGTTCAGTCCTGATGCCCAAGCTTTCTTACAGCTGGTGTGGGAAAGAGGGGATTTGGGAAATAGCTGAGTAAACACTTCAATAAAACACTGCCTGGTCAGGGCTGGGTCCAGCCTTCACTCTGTCACTGGTTTCACCACTGTAGGGTGGTGAGGTTGGGGGGCTCACACTTGCCCCCCTGCCTGTGCCACACTGTTCAGAACCTGCAATTGTCACTGCTTGTGCCATGGGCCACATTCCTGCCTCAAGAGGGAGATCCTGCCCTGGCTGTGCTGGGTTTCCTTCCCTGTGGGAAACCTGCAGCTCCCAGCTGGATGGAGCAGGTATGACGATGGCCAGCAGAGGTCACGGAGCCCTGGGCCTGCAGGTCCTGTACAAGGGATGGATGTACAAGCAGGATGGAGCTTCCAGGACCATCCACTGGATGTTGCTGGGCTCCAGGGCAGGCTGAGCAGGACAAGCCCATTGCTGGTGTGGCTTGGAGGCAGCACCAGGCCTTGCACATGAGAGGGGTGGACAAGCAGGGGTGGAAACACCTACCCAACCTTCTATTCTGGGGATCTGACTGTTACAAGTGTCAGTTTAGTGTCTGTAACACTTGAACTCCTGAGGGATTTGGCCTCCTTAGCTTGGGTTGTTTTGTTTCAGTTCAGCAGCAGCCACCGATCATTAAGGGCTGAGTCCTTGATCAGTAGTTGTACTCTGAGCTCCAGAAAACGTTTCCAGGTGCAGATCACCTTTTGTGGGAAGAGCTGGGAGCACGTCAGCCCCTGATCTGGGGTTTGGACCCTCCTGCTGGGTAGACAGAGCAGCAGGTTCGGTTCTGCTGTCAAAAGGGGGAGTTGACCTCGACTTTCACACAGTCCTGGTGAAATCAAAGCCCTTGAGCTGCCTGGTGAATCATCCTTCAGGCTTGCTGAGTTGCAGTCTGGGCAGGAGATGGACCTTGGGAATTCCCAGTAGGTCCGGCCTGTGGGACAGAGGTGTGACTGTCCCGGCAGCCCAGGGCCTGCCTCTGCAGCATGCTCAGCTTTAGGCATTCTGGACATGGACCTCTGGACTCTGGAGGGCAATTTTGGTCCTGTTGTGCCATGAGGGGCACAGGGTGACCTGGGATCCCCCCAGATGCATTCATCCCCTATGAAATGGAAAATCCAGGTCTGGGAAAGCTGCAGCCAGGACTGTCTGGGCAGCCCAACATGTTCAGGAAGGGAACAAGGAGGATGAAATGGGTGGCTCATTCTCCAGCTGGCTTGAGATGGGTCTGGGCAGCAAGGGTTTGGCTCCAGCCAGGCTGGGAGGATGTTGGATGACAGATCACCCCCCTGCCGTGCCTGGTCCGGGGAGCCTCCCACTGGCAGTGCCACGGGGTGGCAGCACGGTCGTGTACTGGAGCTGGGGAAGTGCTGAGACCGACTGAGGCACAAGATCATTTCCTGCTGTTTCACAACACCTTTCGATCCAACTGCCTTCCCTTGGCTGCAGGGAATTTCCATGCTAGAGCTGCTCCAAGGCTGGAGCCACATCAGGACCCGGGACCCTTGTCCCCTGGCTCATGATGCAGAGGAGGTGACGAGAGGACTCTGCACAGGACCCCGAGCAGGATGGGCTTGTTTGGCTGGGGCTGCTGTGAGGCCGAGCCTCCGTGGTTCTTATCTCCCTTCCTGGGAAGCTGCAGTCACCACTCAGGGCTTGGAACTTTGCTTAGGAAATTGTCCCCAGGGAGCAGTGTGCACTGTCACTGTGCCTCTCGGGGAAACAGGAACCCTGCAGAAGCCCAAGTGTCCCGGGATATGTAAAGACTGGCAGGATCTGCAGTGCAGATGCAAAGGAGCCATCCCCCTGAGGAAAATGAAGGTGGTGGTCCTTGAAAGCCGCACCTCCTGTGCCCGCAGCGCTTTTCCAAGAACACAGTGCCTCTCACCAAGCTGCTCCCTGAGCCCGTTCCCTGCGAGCTCCCAGGCTGGGCCCGCATCGCACACCGCGCAGCCCCGGTGATGCTCTGCTCCTGCAAGGCTCCCAAAAGCAGCCCTTCAGTGAGACTCCAGCCCCGGAGCTGTCTGGGGTTTGTACCAGCAAGAAAACAAACGGTGCAGAGCTTTATTCGCTGCAAAAAGTAGGGCAGGGAGCTCTCACGTTGAAAAAACTGGAGGAAAAATGTGCGCCAGCAGCCGGAGTGGGAAATCGGGAGGGAAAAGCGTCAGCGGGCTGGGAGCTGAGATGAGTCAGGACAGCTCCTCCCCCTGCACCAAATGACGCTCAAATATTTCAGGCAGGCCCGAAAATGCTGCAGGTTTGGCATGTGAGCAGCCTGGCAGCTCTAGGCTGTGAGGCCAGAGCAGCCCCGGCAGCGGGGCAGGAAACACGAGCCGGTGGATTTTTCTGGGGCTTTTGAGAACCGATACCCCAGATCTCCCGCGGACCAGAAAAGCGACTTTCCAAACCGCAGAGCCCTCGGTGCCTCTGCAGAGGCAGCTGCCGGGAAATGCCTGTCCCCACCTGCGCGGGGTCCTGCCCACACCCGGCTCACAGCAGCCTCACTTGGGCCACCCGGGCTCCAGGGGAAGGGGGACGTGTGTGAGAGCACACTGGATCCTGCCAGGATCTGTAAATGGCCTGTAAAGGGCACCTGGAAATGGAACATCCACTCCTTGTGAGCTCAGGGCTGTCTTGCTTCATGGTGGATACCTCCAAACCCACGGGTCTGTCCACAGAGTTTGTGTCCTGGAGTCTGGTGGGGGGTCCTAACCCTCCTCTAGACTGAGAGCTTTCACCTCCCTGGTCTGCTCCGTCATGGGAAGGGAGATGCCAAGGGTTGGGAGGGGCAGAGTGGCATCTCAGCTCGGTAGTGGAGGTGGCTGAGGGTGCTGAGGACACATTTCCTGAGGGCACATGGCAAAGTGAGAGCACAGCTGAAGTTCAAGAAGGAATTTGAGAATCTGATGGTATCTCCCCATCCCCAGCTCCCCCAGACACCCTGCTGCATCCCAGGTGGCACTTGTCCTTCCCTTCTCCCAGCCAGCTGCATTTCACTCAGGCTGATACTGGTGCTGGGCTGGAAGGGGCTTTTCCCCTCCAAGGGACGGTCCTTCTGTATGGGCAGCTGCAGAAGAACCACTGAGTGCCCAAACAGAGCCCTGGGACTTGTTCTGGGGAAGGACATTGCATCTCTGGTCCCTGGGTGTGTGGTACAGGGCAACACTCTGTGGCTGCAGGATCCATCCCCTTGGCCAGGTGGGGGCTTTGGAACAGCACAGCTGGCCTGGAAAGGTGCTGGAAAGGTGCTGGAAAGGTGCTGGAAAGGTGCTGGACAGGTGCCATCAGTGCCAGCTTTGGGAAGATGCTTCCTGGCAGGCCGGAGTGCCTGTCTCCCCTCCTCCATGTTTCTGGCCCTCAGAGATGCTCAGCTATTCCTGCCCCTTGTCCTGGAGGGCCAAGGTTGGGGGCAGCAGGCTCTGTCACCGCAGGGCTCAGTCCTGCACCTCCTGAGCCCATCCTGCCCTGGGAAATCCAGAGCCCAGCCTGGTGGTTCTCGTGCCTCGTCCCGGTACCTCCGCCCTGTCCCGGAGCATCCTCCATCCCAAGAAGAGGGGGAAACAGCAGTCGCCCGTCAGCAGCAGCAGCTGCCGGGGGGCCCCTCCCGAGCCCCCGGGCTCCGTTCCCGTCCTGCGGGGCCAGGGGCTGCCGGTGCCCGGGGAAGCGAAGGGAGCGAGTGGAGCCGCCATTGGCGCAGCCGGGCCGCGATTTTGTCCATATTTGGGTAAATCCAGCGCCGTGGGCCCCGCGTCACTTCGCTTTTTTGAGGTTTCCCCGGGCGCTCTCATTTGCCTCCCGGCCGCCGCCTCCGGGCCCCGGCAGTTTCTGGTTGAGTCACCGTCAACGGCCCCGCTCCGGGCCCGGGCTCGGGCTGGGGCTGGGAGCGCCCGGGGAGCTCCCCCGAACATCCCGCCCGGGGCCCATCCCCGCCCGCTGGGGAAACGGGGCTCACGCCGGGACCGCAGCGCTCTCCTGGCTGCAGAGGTGGCCTCGGCTGTGCCCCAGGTGCTGCAGCTCTGCCCTGAAGCTTTGCCATGATGGTGGCAGACAATGCTCTTCCCATCCAAAGGGCTCTCAGAGGCAGCGCTGATGTTTTGGTGCTGCAGATGTCTCTAGCACGTGCTCTTCTGGAGCATCTCAGCTCAGAGCCCTCTGTCCCGGGGGTCTTTGACGAGGTCACCCTTCGCACTGTCAAGCAGAGAGAGCTGTGGCCCGCCCTGTGCCTCTGTCCTGTGTTCTCAGAGGGATGTGGTGCATTAGGAATGCTGTCCTTAGGCTTCGGTGCCCTGACTGAGACACTGTGACTCCTTTGGGGCCTGGCCAGGAGATGCTACAGCTTGGCTGTGGATCCAGTGGCTCACCCAGCCACTTTCCCACTGGCCCCAGGGCACTCAGGTGGCTCAGGGAGGGTTTAGGTGAGACCATCCTGTTCCTCCTCCTTCTCTTCCTCCACAAGGCGTTGGTTGGATGGGATCCATGGGGTGTTGGATGGATGGGATCCATGGGGTGTTGGTTGGATGGGATCCATGGGGTGTTGGATGGATGGGATCCATGGGGTGTTGGATGGATGGGATCCATGGGGTGTTGGATGGATGGGATCCATGGGGTGTTGGATGGGCGGGATCCATGGGGTGTTGGATGGATGGGATCCATGGGGTGTTGGATGGATGGGATCCATGGGGTGCTGGTCTGATGGGAATCACTTGATCATGGTGGGGCAGTTTCCTGTCCCCAGCCCCGAGCGGGATTCACAGGCCAGGCTGAGGTGCAGCAGGAGCTCGTCTCCCAGCCCTGGGGCCGAGGGCAGCACTTCCCCTGCCGACAGCGAGCGCCGCAACCGCAGGCGAGGAGGGGAAGTTGCTGCAAGGCCGATAAGAAATATCAGCGCTTTCGCAGTGCCTCGGCTGCACAGCCTGACAAGAGCCCTTCCCCCTGCCGTGCTCCGGCCCAGCGGCGCCGCTGCCCCGAGCCCAGGCTCCTGCTCCCCTGCGCTCCCCGATACTGAGAGAGTTACTGGAAAAGGAACAGCCCTGCGGCCACCTCGGGGCTGCAGGGCGGCAGGGGGGCACCTG